TCCACTTAGGAATGGGAGGATATTATTCGCTTGAAGTTTCCTGATATTTTAGAAGAAGGTAAGAGCGAATTCCGAGGACAAAATTCCTTTTGTTAGGGGGGAAGAATGTAATACCCCAAATTTCAAAAAGATAGTAATGGGATTTACTTTATTATTTAAATTACGTTTTTAATTGCTAAGGTGCTTATGTGTTAATTTAATTGAATTATTTGTTATTTTAATTTATTGTTGTTTTGTTTAATTGAATATTTGATTAATTGATTTAATTGTAGTTAATTTATTTAATTATTTTAATTATTATTTTAATTGTATCAATTACTTAATTGTTATTTAAATGGTTTTTTTGTTTTAAATTAATTGTGTTAAGTGTTGATTTAATGTTGCAAACTTATTTAATTACATGTAATTTATTTTTGTGTTAACGTAATTGTAAGGTTTGTTGCATATAGAGTATTCACATAAGTAGCCGACATAGGTTTTAACCTAGATTTTGCTATGGGCCAAGTAATCTGATTAGGGTTTAACTAAGCCTAGGGTTAGGGTGGCCTATAAATACTCACCTAGGATGCCTGCCTAGGGTTTTAGAAGAGGATTACGCCATAATAAGACACAAAAAGTTTAGAGACATCTGGGGAAACAACCAAGTGAAGAAACAGAGGATTTGCCGGGAAATTTAGACGAACGTCGGTGTAAAGCAAGTTCTATCCTTACTCTCTCCCTTAGGCTTCATGTTCTTTGCATTCCTAAATAATTCTAGGATTGATTAGAGCAATGAAAACGTTATCTGTTTATGCTAAAACTTGAATTATAATAGTATGTTTGCATGCTTGCTAAAACTGTTAAAACGTGATGTTTGCTTGCATAATTCTCTATCTAAACCTATGTGTGGAATGTAATTAAGACTTAAACATGGACTGGGAATATTCTGGGATTGGGTTATAACTTCTAGAAACCATAGCAGTAGGGTACAGAATGTGCAAAGGACGTTGGAATCGGAGAAGACGAAGCAGAGAGGGAGAGAGCTGGCTCTCCCTAAGAGGGAGCCGGCTCTTTGTTAGTTGGAGGCAGCTCCTTTTAGGTTAGAGCCGGCTCCTTTATGCAATTTTTAATTTTTTCCGTTTTCAGGCAGTTTTAGTTGCAGTGGTAGGTTCTCTGTGGTTCCAGTTGGGTTTAGGGCTGTGTGTGAGGTGTATGGATGGTACTTGGAGACAATTCTAAGACTTTAGGGGGCATGTTAATAACCTAACTATGGTTGTCACTTGAACAGTATATGTTTTAAACAATTTAAAACACTGTGGTTGGAGTCGGAAGAGTTAGATTGGTTTAATTCTTTGTGTTTTGTAATCTTCAGAGACAAATAATATAATTAATACATGTGTCACCATATAACATGATCATGTATCTGAATTATATTGGTTTTGGATGTATTGGAGATGAGTGATTTTAAGATTTAAACATACTTAGCACTCTACTGAGTTTGTGAAACATTAGAGATTAAGCATGCCTATGTATATGTTGAAATTTTGTTTTGATGCTTTCATTAGTACTGCTAGTATCAATTTTTAGAGCATGGACCTTGTTGATATTTACCCCAAATGTCTGTGATATCACCTGTTGGATGTGGAATACTATTAAGATTTAAACTTAGAATTATATTGGATTTTGTGTAACAGTATGTACTGACTATGTTTATGTATATACTTTTACTCTACTTATTGATGCTCACATCACTACTTTTGTTATCAATTATTGGATGTATGGAATTAGTTTATATTCGCTTTAGTTGTCGATATTATCAACTGCTGGATGGTTGGATAGTATACACCGGTATGGGACAGTGGTATACTAGGGACGGTTTGGTTTCAAAATACCAAAACCTACCTACTCTGGATTAATGAATGGATTAACTAAAAGTTAAATCCTATGGATTTGTAGTGTCATGGCAACAACTAGTTGAGCGGCACTACTATAGATTTTGGATAGATTTTAAATATATTATTATTATGGTACCTCGATATGAGCTTGAGTCTCAGGATCGTTGGTTAGGGAGCGTATATGCATTGGGATGCATAGCTGGATACGATGGTTGGAGGTGTACCCTGTTTAGGCCTAGGTACACGTGCCCACTTCGTGTGCGTTTTAGCATGTTACCTCTATTCAGGTTAAAACCGGCTTGTAGTCCAGTAAGAGTCCTTTAGTGTGGCTATATATATATATTTACGGACTATTAGCTATTGTTGAATTGTTTATGGTGTACATACATATCGGGCCTCTGTTTGGATTGTAATAGTATAGAACTTGCGCGTGGACCTGACCCACTTCTATTTTTCAGGTGCACAACAGTTCCAGACTTAGACGTATTCGTGCTGAGTAGAGGTTTCTACTTACTCTACCGACGATGTAGGATTTCTCTCCATAACTTAGATTAGGATGTTCTTTCAGTTGTTTTAATTCAGTTTGGATTTTTATTAGGGGTCTACTAGAGATGGATTCCCAAGTTGTTAAACTTATGGAGTTTTGGATTGTCAGATTTTCAGTATTAAATTTTTAAAGGGGTTATATTTAGTTTCTTTTAGCTTAAAATTTATTTCTTAATTCAATTTGTATTCTGTGTTCATTATAAAATATTAATTGTTTGATATTCCCTCGGATTTGGGCCTGAGCCTAATCAACCCGTGTCTCGGATCCGAGGGGTATCACACATATCGGATCTCTGCTTGAATTGTAGTAGTATAGAACTTGCTCGTAGACCTGACCCACTCTTATTTTTCAGGTATCAGGTGGTTCCAGTCTTAGAGTTTGATCGAGCTGAGCAGGGACGATTACTCCTTCTTCCTATTATGTAGGATTTCCCTCCATGATTTAGTTTTAGATATTCTTTCAGTTATTTACATTTCCGTTTAGAACTTTTATTAGGGGTCCATTAGAGATGGATTCTCGAGTTGTTTAAGTATGGAAGGTTTTGGAATTATGTTGGGAGTATTGGATTTTAATTATTTAAATTTAAGGATTTATTATTTAGAATTTTTTTCAGCGTATTTATTTCTTAAATCTATTGTATTTCGTGTTTGTTACATATTAATTGTTTGGTATCCTTCGGGTTTGGGCTTGGGCCTGATCAACCCATGTCTCGGAGTCGAGGGGTATCACACATGCTTATTTTGACAACTGGCAACCTTATTTGCTTAGCTGGCGCTGACGTGGCACTGCGACCGATCGCCAATGGCTTCGATCGATCGTCACTTTGGACGAGTCTTATCCCTTTGCCAACGTGGTTACAATCGATTATGGATGAATATTCGATCGATCGCCAATACTCCAGAAATTTTTTTTTGACTTTTTTTGGAAGTTCTTCTTGACTCCAAAAAGGGCTTAATAGGTTGTTTTTAGCCTGTTTGAACCTTATTGACTTGAAATAGACAAAAACAAGAATTAGAACTAAAATGGGAAAGTAAGATAGATGAATGTACTAAAATACCTTAGCTTAGGTGTTAAAATGTGCAACATTTGAGCACTTATCACTCTAATATATTGATTTTGAACCACAAAGTCGAAGAAATCAGTCAGAAACATGAATACAGAAGGTAAAAGTACATGAAAATATTAGGGTTTTTAAAAAAATTCGAAGAACTTTCAATAAAACTCCAAAATTGAACACCATCTGAGGATTTCCATCCACAAAACTTAAATAATAACTCAAAAGCAGTCACAATATCACATTTATTCGAAGAAACTCATACCAAATGGGTCAAACCTGGCTTGGTCTTCAAAAATAAGAGGAAAATAGCAAAGATCGTTGAGGTTTTGAGCGAAAATAGTACTTTGAGCTTCTATCGGTTGTCGTTTTCTAGCCAAACAACCACAAACAGTAGAGTCACCCAAAATCGCCAGAAAGGAGTTGCGTGTATAAACCCAGAAAATGAGAAATTTTGCCTTTTATACGTGGATTACATGTTTCCTCCACTACAATTTAATGGCCCAAATTGCTTCCTCCGCTACAGTAATATGTGTAACCCAAACAGCACAAAAACAAGCTAAAACACCTAAATGATGTTTCATATTTTGGGTCCTTTTTGACATTGTTTAAAACATAACAAGTCTAACCGAATATGTTTTGGGCTTGAAATGGGTTACTGTAGCGGGCCTGTAACAAAAACAGGTAAAACAAAACAAATGCCAAACTAGGCCAATTTGGTGATATAAGTTTGGACAAAAAAAATCTAATATGTTATGAACTATTCCAAACCAATATTTGTCATCCCAAATATGACATGGGCTCAAATTTGGATACTAATATCAAAAAACAATATCATAACGGATGCCAAACGAACCCTAATTTGGTTTTTTTACATGTTTCAACACTGAAAGAACGAGGAATGTAACGATGAATAGTAAAAAAATAATTTTTTTTTTTTTTTTTTAAACTCTTAAATAACATTTTTAAATTAACTATTATATCTTTAAAACATGTAAAAAAAAAATTTACCAAATATATTTTCATATTTTTGTTTTAAAAAATCTTACAACAAATTAACGTTATCAAAGACACTTTCGATTATTATTCAAATCACTTTATAATAGGATATGGTGTGATATTCTAGTGGTAGGGGATGTGATTCCTGTAGCCAAAGGCTCAGGTTCAAATCCCTGCTCCTTCAATAAATTGCTTTAACTTTAAATAATAATAATAATCAACTTCCAATAAAACACTTGTTTTTATTTTGGGTAAAACAGAAAGCTAAAAACAAAATGCCCAATTGATCCCATAAAACCATCACAATGTCCACGTGTCTTACAGTTGACGTGAAAACGCAAATATTTACTCTACACCTGACACGTGTAACCCCACACGCATTCCCACCAAATAAATGTTTTCTTCGTCTTTTGGCATTTCTCAACAAAACTATACAGTTACACACTTATATTAAGTAACGTAGCAACGAAAAACCATCAGATCTGTTTTATATGAGAGAGAGAGTTTTGGAGCGAGAAGAGTGGCAATGGAGGAACAGCTAATACAGAGGTTGGAATTGGCGGTGGGGCGTTTGGAGGGGCTGTCCGGGGGATTCCGGCAGGGAGCTTCACCGGAGAGCGCCGGAGATGCAGCGGCGGCGGCATCGGATCCGTCAATCGTTGCATTTGATGACCTTATGGCGCAGTACGTTGGTAGGGTTTCGAGTGCTGCGGAGAAGATTGGGGGACAGGTTCTGGATGTGACCAAGGTTATCGAAGAGGCGTTTTCTGTTCAGAAAGAGCTTCTCACCATTGTCAAGCAAACTCAGGTTCGTTTCCATCTACGTTTTGACATGTTTGTGTTGAAAGTTGAAACTGTTGAATTGGGATTTGGATGAAGCTCGCACCATAGTTGAATCTGTTTCACTGTATGTATGTATATATAAACGCACACATTGGCGAACATATATGGTTGTTTATCCATTTGTTTAAACTACAATGACCTATGTTTAGCTTATACAAAATACTATGTTTATCAATTTATATCTGTTTCTTCTGGTGATGAAGTGTGAGATAGTGTGATCATGCTCATAAATGTGGCTAAATTTTGTAGGGTATCATGTTGAATAAAATGAATTTGAATTTTATAGAGTGTGTTGGGAGGAATATATCTTTTTATGGCATGAATTCATGTATATCTTTTATAATAAAGAAGTGTGACAAATTGATAGTGTAGTTTCATAAATCTTTTAAAATAGAATCAAATCTGTTGATGGTTCATTAATAATTTTTGAAATGTTGATTCTTATGGGACCTTGTAGTTACACAATGAAGGAAAATTTGTTGGTAAAATCAGTAATCTGGACTCCTTTTGAATATAAGCTAACATAAGTGCTTTAAATTTTGAGTATCAGAAACATTTGGTGGTTTAAGGGATTGATGCTGCAGTAGTTGAGGGAGGATATGAGGTCAAGAATAATGGATTAGATGAAAATAATATGCTGGAACTTGTTTAATGTGTTCATATGGGTACAAATTTCATCATAAATTCACTATCATCTTCTGGGTATTGTATATGGTGAATAAGTAGCCATCACATTGAATTCTCTCTTGATTCTGCAGAAACCTGACATGGCAGGTTTGTCTGAATTTCTCAAGCCGTTAAATGAAGTGATTACGAAGGCAGTTGCAATGACAGAAGGAAAGCGAGCGGAACTCTTCAACCACTTGAAGACTGCTGTTGACAGTCTCACAGCTCTAGCATGGATAGCATATACGGGCAAAGACTGCGGTGTGAGAAATGTTTAGATGTTTTGCTGCAAAGAAATTATGTTATTTAACCATTGTTTTGTTCCTTATTTTACTATCCCGTTTTCAAGGTATGAGCATGCCTACTGCACATGTGGAAGAAAGTTGGCAAATGGCTGAATTTTACAACAACAAGGTACTTCAGATACTTGCAAGAAGCTAGCAGCTATCACCTGGGTACTCATGTATTATGAGTAGAATATGTTTGCTTTACATTGAATCAGAAGATGAGAGGAGAAACTGTAGTTGAACTAGAATTTAGTTGTCAATTCTGCATCTTAAACTCCTTTTCTTCCCATACGAAAATTTGAAAATTAAAAGTGTTTGCACTGATGGATGAATTGGTCTACAATTGAGATTGAATATTAAAAGCCATATAATTGAAGAATTCGCATAACCTTGCCTAAGATAAGCTTATATGTGAAGCCTATTTCCTAGAAAATGGCTTCTCAACAATATAAATAGAACTCATTCTTCATCATTTTGCAGGAGTGCAGAGATTCTATAAGAGTAATATTATTGTTCTTCTGCAAGAATGGTGGTTAAGAGTGGTTTCCCAATTAACTTAGATATTTTACGAGCCACACTTTATTTATGAGTTTTGATCCTCTAGAAAAAAAAAAAAAATAAATAAAATAAAAAACTTTGTATGGACTGCTGTTTGAGGCGAGATTTTGACCCTGGATAATTTGAGGAAGAGAAGACAGATTACAATCAATTGGTGTTGTTTGTGCAAGAGGAGTGGCGAGTCTATGGATCACCTTCTTTTGCATTGGCCAGTAGCACTGTTGGAGCCTTATCTTTGGCCTTTTCAACGTCCATTGGGTTATGCCTCGATCCTCAAGGGGTTTGATTGATGCTTGGCGAGGCTGTAGTGTTGGAGCCCATGCCCGTAAGTGTTGGAGGGTTGTTCCCCTTTGTGTTTGGTAGTGCTTATGAAAGGAGCGGAATAGAAAATCTTTTGAAGTGAAGGAATCTTCCTTAGGGGCTTTGAAGTTTCATATTATTAGCTCTCTTTTTAGTTGGGTTTTGGGGAGAAATTGTATATCCATTGACAAGTTTATTGATTTTTTTTGGATTCGGTGGGTCCTTAGGACCTTGTCTATGGCTTCGGCCTCTATATAACTCTTGGAACGTGTTTCCCGTTTGAATGCTTTCTAATACATTTTACTTATCAAAAAAATAAATAAATAAATAAATAAATAAGAACCCTTAAAACTAATGATTGTTAATGTAGCTGTATTGGTTTCATATTTCTTTTAGAGACGCATGCAGTGCACATTATTATAAACTTTATAAAGTTATCTGAGCTCATAGTAAACCAACGATGTATCAAAAAATTATATTTTGATGATCATCTCAATGAATTCAAAAAGCATAACATGTAATATATTCAACATAAATCTAATAATTATGATATTTTAATCTAACAATTACTTCAAAATCTAGCAGAACAAAAGTGATTTGGATTGGTGGTGCAAAGCGTTGCTTGTATTTAGGAACTATGAGAAATATTCGGAAGAAGAATGAGAAGAAACAGAAAGAAGTACAGTTCATACCTTTAGAATAAAGATTTAAAACTGTAGTTCCTCAGTTGAATAATCTTTATTTATTTATTATTATTCTATAAAATTTCGTGGTTCAATCTTATAGTGATATTGAAAATTGATTAATTTGGATAATCAAATTGATAAAGGTGAAGAGAAGAGAAAGGAAAAAAAAAAAAGAGAGACTAATTTACTGCTGTAGATCAATATTGATATGGATAGAAAAGAGGACAAGAAAAAAAAAAATGTAGGGGTAGAATTTTTTGTAAAGGACTCCTAAATCAATTTGGTTTTTGTACCTTTGGAATCGTGTGTGAGAGATTTTCTTAACTAATGTGATGTATTATATGTAGAATTAATTTAACTCGGGATTGAAACTTTTTTGCTTAACAGTATAGTTTGTCAAGAGTGTCTATCATAATTTAGGTTGGTTAAAGTAGACTTCTATCGAAGTACTGTATTATACATTATTTCATGCTAGAGTTCTAGAGTGAAAGAAGTCAATGAAAATCCAAATAAATTTTGACTCAATAAACATTAAAGAAATATTTATATGATTAATTATTCATAAAAAATGTATATAAAAATTAAAATATTATTGGGTTTGATGGTTGCATCAACCATGGCAATGTACCGTAAGTAGAACTTTCTGAGTTGCACATCTGTTTTTCTCCTTTCCATGTGATATGCTATCTTATATATAGGAACTCATGAGAATTTATTCTTCTATGTGGTGCTGATGTTTTCCATTATATTATGCAGATTCTTGTAGAGTACAAAAGTAAAGACCCAAATCATTCGGAGTGGGCAAAAGCTCTGAAGGAGCTTTATATAACAGGTTTACGGGATTATGTTAAGAGTCATTACCCTTTGGGACCTGTATGGAATGCCACAGGTAAAACAACTGTGTCTGTTCCATCAAAAGCTCCTACACCAAGTGGTCCTGCCCCTCCACCTCCTCCACCAGCTTCACTCTTCAGTTCTGAATCGCCTCGGCCTTCATCGTCACGCCCAAAGGAGGGGATGGCCGCTGTCTTCCAAGAAATTAATTCAGGGAAGTCAGTGACATCAGGTAGTTCTTATTTTTCTTCGTAATCTTTTCTTAGGGTACAGTTGGGCATTTTATATATGATTTACTTGCCTCCTAGGTTTGAAAAAGGTCACAGACGATATGAAAACAAAGAACCGCTCAGACAGGACCGGTGTTGTTGGTGCTGGGGAAAAAGAAGGTCGTGCCAGTGTACCCTCTTTTGCCAAAGCAGCACCTCCAAAATTCGAGCTTCAAGTGGGCCGTAAGTGAGTAAACATTTATGCTTACTTATGGTTCTTGATTTGTATAAGAGATTTATGCGATGATTTTAAACTGTTATTGCCACTGCATGTACTGTTGGGCAGGTGGGTAGTTGAGTATCAAATAGGAAAGAAAGATTTAGTGATTGAAGATTGTGATGCAAAGCAGTCTGTATACATTTTTAGTTGCAAAGATTCTGTTTTACAGATCCAAGGTAATTTTTGTTGTCTTACAGGCATCATATCGTTGTTGTCATCATCACTAATATTATTTTCTTACATATTAAACTTTGCTGCTGATTAATGAAATCATTGCTCATACCGATGTGCAGGGAAAGTTAACAACATAACAGTTGATAAATGCACTAAGATGGGAGTTGTATTCACGGTCAGTGAGAAAATTATGTGAAAATGATAGAACAAATTTTTGGAATTGTGGACGCAATATTAACTGCTTGATAAGTTGATATGGGCTCATTTTAATGATCTATCTTTGAAAACAGGATGTTGTGGCTGCTTGTGAGATTGTAAACAGCAATGGCGTTGAGGTGCAATGCCAGGTATCTCTTTTCATTTGTATTTTTAAAGTCATAATTTTTTCATGACTATTATCTTAAATTTTGACTGCCAACCAAATAAGATCTTGAATTTTGAAAATGTTGCTATCCCAAAGTTCGTAATAATAGAAACTAATATGTAGTGGCTTCTTTTATTCTCTAGGCTAATGGGTTGGAAAATCAGAATCTAGTTTAGCGGTGCAATTGCCTAGTTTTGCTTTTGCATGTTTACCATGATCTAACTTGCATTCATTTTTTCCTTACTATTCTAGGGTTCAGCTCCAACAATTTCAGTGGACAACACGGCCGGTTGCCAGTTATATTTAAGCAACGACTCTTTGGGCACTTCTATAACAGCAGCCAAGTCAAGTGAAATCAATGTATTGGTACCTGGTGCTGGGCCTGATGATGATTGGGTATGTTTTTTGTGTTCTATATTTGGTTTCCTAGTTACTACTTGCAAAAAGAAAAATATTTGGTTTCCTAGTTACAATCATACTTTTCACTACTGAAAGTAAAACATGCAAAACCCCCTGTACCTCCTAAAGCCCAACATTTGCAGCCTTTTGAGTGTAATAATAACTAAAACCTCTTTAACTAGAAGAATATCTACTGTAGTCAGGATGACAAAACATGGAGACTAGTGCGATGACACTTGACATACTCTTATAATTAAATATAAAATTAAGGCTTTTTATACCTTTAACACAGTTTTTAGCCTGAAATAATATACAACCAAGAGTTATAATCTAATAGTATCTCCCCTACATTGTAAAGGGAATGGTGGGGTTGAAGTTTCCCCATAGGAGCAAATGGGTGCGTGAATTTCTTATCAGAAAAGAAAGAAAAAGAAAAAGATCCATACGAAAAGAAAAGGGGAAGAGGAGTGCTAGGGACGGGTCCCTCCAAGTGTCTTGGGCTCGGCTCCCCACTGTATAGCTTTCCAAGCCTCCGTCATGTCCCCTCCAAGCATTTATGGCTCGGCTACCCACTGTACAGCTTTCCAAGTCTCCATAATGCCCCCCTCCAAGCATCTAGGGCTCAGCTACCCACTGTATAACTCTCCAAGCCTCCATCATGCCCACCGTGGAACCAAAGAATACCCAATAACTCCAAAAATCACCAAAAACATGTCCCAAATATTCCTGCCATTGGACACTGCAAAAGAAGGTGATTCACCGATTCCGCATCCTTTTTGCATGTGAAACACCATTTGACAACTATTTGCTGCCTCCTGCTAAGGTTATCACTTTTCTTTTCTTTGTTTGGCAGGTTAGCCAACCAAAAAAAAAAAAAAATTGCTATATGGTTAAAATTATTCAAAGCCGTTCACAAGTGTAGTAGGATCATGTTTATTGATGCGTTGCAGTTGATAACTCGATATATTTTCCCACTTAATTTAGAATCACATTATAGCAGCCTTCTAATTTTTACCTGTCACATTATGGGAAATGTATGTGGACTTTATGATTAATCAATTCAATATTAGTGTTGTTGTGGTGTCGGTAGTTCTTAATAGGTCTCATCCTAAATCTCCTTTCATTTAACGAATGAGATTGGATGGTCGAAACTCTAAAAACACGATTTTTGACGTTTATATTCGGAGAAACTGCGAGACGAGATGGCACCAGTTTATACTCGAGAAAGTGTTCCCATTCAGATTCCCTCACGATCTTTGACATTGTATTGTTGCAGGGGGAGCATGTTTTGCCTCAGCAGTTTGTTCATGCATACAAGGATGGCCAGTTTGTAACATCTCCTGTCTCCCACTCTGGAGGGTGACGGGAAATTTCAGAAATTCAATTTTTTACATGGTTTTATTTCTATATATTTATTCACTGAATTCATCCTAGGGTTGGGGTGATTCTCATTTTTTCTACTAATTCAAGAAATAAAAAGAAAGAAGAAACAATACCGTCTCTTCAAAAATATAGCAATCTTATTTGGTTTGTTGGTATTTAACGAGCTATTGTACTCCCTCCGTCTCAAACTAAATGTCCTTTTTTGGGAATCTAACTTTTTAAAATGATGAGTTTTAATATATTTTTTATTGTATTGGTAGTAAATGAATTATCAAATATGTTCATAGTGGGTTGATGATGTGATGGTTTACTTTTTATAAATTCAATGTAAAAATGTTAAATTAGTAATGTTACAAAAAATAATACTTTGACTTGTTAAATGGAGCATTTATTTTTGAGGCAACTAAAAATAGAAAGGTGGACATTTAATTTAAGACCAAGATAGTAATATTCTACATATTCTTGTCAGAGTTGTTTCTATTTTTTTTTTCCGCACGCGGAATCACTTTCAACTCTTGAAGAAATCCTACTAAACAATTCACTGACTTGTAGTATTTTGGAGTAAGTCTCATTTTTACATTTTTTCAAGTGCTTGTAAGTTTTCTGATGTGCTCATAACATATAGTTTATAGTAATATAAAAGCACTATTTCCCCTAAATTTATATTATGAGACTAAATTTATATTATGAGACTTTTGTGGGATTCAATTAACAGAGCACCATATCAATTCATTTGTGTTCAACTTTTAAACTTTGTATCATTATTTTAAAATTTATTTTCACACAACTTTTTTAAGTTTCACTGTGAAAATATAAGATTGCCTCTCTTATAAAATTATATTGCTTGCCTCATTGTTAAGCAATGAAAAAAAGTAAATAAATACTTCCTCCATTTCAAAATAAGTTACCACTTTTTTATTTTTATTAATCCCAAAATAAATTTTTACCTTTTTATTTTTATTGCCCCATTTGAAAAGTCAATCAATGTTCTATATTATTTTGTAATATTATTATTATTTTTTTATAAATGAGGTTTGATTCCATTGAAAAGTGAAACACTTGTACAATGGATAGAGAGAGGACATATCCTCTCTGTACATCAGTATAGAACACAAAGGAATTGAAAAAACCCATTTCCAGTATACATGGAATCAGAGACAAAACATCATCATCATAATAAGCCTATTACAATATTACCAATTTAATATATATATAATATATTATATAGATATATATCTATAATTTTATATTTTATTTTCTTAAGACTAATTTTATCATTTCACATTTTGACCTATATGGGTTTTGGAATGAGCGGGAGATATTTGCACATTTTGCCTACTTGTTTTCTGCTTTTAAAATTGTTACAATAATAAGTGTTAAATAAACACAATTTCTACTTTTGACGTTTTTTTTAACATCGACCTACCATTATGATAATATATTTGATTGATTCTATTACTTTCTTTTTTGTTTGCAATGTAATATTATGATAATATATTTATTGATTAAATTACTTGAATAATACTTCATCCTAAATTATTATTATGATAATATATTTATTGATTAAATTATTATGATATATATTTATTTATTAATTTGCACAAGTCTTCTGTTAATTACTTGAAGATCTTCTATTAATGGATTAGGGCCGGCCAATTTGATAACCCTAACTAGATTCATTTATAGTAGTAGCACATGGACACGCTAAAGATGCCGGAAAAACAAAAAATATATCACGCAAATCATTGATGGCATATATATACATTTGGTTGGCTGGATCCAATCGTGTTCATTGTATTGAGTGTGAGTTCGAAATCTTTTGCTATGTAAATTTACTATTTAAATTTGAATAGTGATACTCACAAGTTCGAATTCTTTTGCTATGTAAATTTACTATTTAAATTTGAATAGTGATGAAACTCACACCGGATACTTATGTGAATTGCCTAAATATATATTTAAAAAAAAAAAAGTTAAGGAAACAAAGATACTCATCACTCAAGCTCTTCGTTGATAGATTTTCGCATTTGCATCTCTTGTGTTTGAGCTCTATCAGCCTATGTCGATCCTATTTGAATGCATCTATTGTCATTGATGCGTAAATAGAGAGATACCAATTGGGATGGAAATATGGCAAAAGAGAGAAAAAAATAATAATAATTATGCCTAGTTTAGTTTTTTAAAACATAATTTTTTTTTTTTTTCCCCATTTCATTTTACAGTTTTTTAGAAACTAAGTTTTAAAAAAATATTTTTAGATAATTATTTTTAATAGTTATCACGAATTCTTAAATATTTTTTTTCAAAAACTGAACCAAACATAATATTTTTTTTTTAAAAAAACTAAACCAAACATACGATTTTATTTATTTATTTATATAACCCTCTTTACTACTCTAGTTTTTTTTTAAAAAACGCTGGTGTACAATGTCTTTTTATTTTTTTAATTCACTCTTAATTAAGAAATTATTATTTTTTTGTGTTTTTTTTTTTTTTTTTTTTTCTTTTTTTTGTGTGCTTCAGGTTTCTTTTTCTTTTCGTTTGGTAATCAATTATATATTTTTTTAATAAAAGTATTGATAGGAGAATCGAAATTTCTTTTTTAAAATTAACACCAAATTAAACATGATACTATATGTTTTTGGTAATCAACTTCATTTTGGTGGGCCTCAAACTTTATGGCCCACAGGGATGGAAAGACAAAAAAAAAAAAAAAAAAAAAAAAAAAAAAAAAAAAAAAAAAAAAAAAGCCCGGACAAGTCTTGGTCGCTTGGGACTCAAATTTTAGAGGGGGGATGGAAAAAGAAAAAAAGTTAAGGCAAGTTTCAGACGACACAATCTGCTTCGACACTCCGCAGGGCGCAGCCTCCGCTATCGCCTCAGGTGAGAAGGTATGTTCATCCTCTCTCTCTCTCTCTCTCTCTCTCTTCTCTCTCCTTTTGCATGAATCGATCTTTTATATATGTTTCTTTCTTTCGTTTATCTCATCATTTGATTTGTTCTAACTTTGGTTCGTTTGATTCCGGCCTTTACCTTTGTTCCAATAGTGAAAAGTAGCCTTCAAACTAGGGTTTTTGTGTGTGTCACTGTGTGTAGAAAAAACAAAACACTGCACATGCGCACAATTATTTTTTGGTGATGATAAATTTATAATTATTACTTCATAGGCACACAATTATTTATTAGTGGTGATAAAAATTTATAGTTATTAGTTAGTTGTCAGAGGAACACAATTATTTATTGGTAGTGATAAAAATTTATAGTTATTAGTGGTTACTGCACAGGCACACAATTATCGCTCAATTTCATATTTGCCGTAACAATGAGCGATCTCTTAATTTTAAAATGGCAGCTCAAAAAAACAAACATACTATAATAAGGGATATTGGGCGGCGTTAAAAGCCTTTTCGTTAGTGAAATGCCTTTCTACCGGAAATTAAAAAAAAAAGATTTGTGGGACAAATAAATAATCAAACGTTGGAATAATCTGAATCAACTTGACTTGAAAAATTGGCTAATTTTATTTATAATATAATTAATAATTTCCATTACTTACTGTATTGGACTAATCAATATTGGATGAATCAATCACTTTCTATTAATTTGTACAGGTCTTCCGTAGAGAAAACAAAACACGCAAAACAAAAAATAAAAGTTAATTTGCACAGGTCTTCTGTTAATTTGCACAGATCTTCTATTAGGATAATCTATGGCAGGTACTTTTTTTTTTCCTCCCCCTAAGTCCACTCCAATCTCACAACAGCAGCAACCATACCCCTTTTCCTCATAATTTTTTGCATGTTCACATTAAATCCCACGAAAATTAAGGATCCCTTCTAGTGGGTTGAGGTAATAATTAACTTTTTCGATCTCTAAATTATTCTCATACTTAAAAGTGCCAAATTAGCACTTGACTGTGAATTAGATTATTATAATTATAACTCTTCACAAGGTTTCATAAATCAATAGTCAACACCTAACTGTTTTTTTGTTTTTATAAGTTCTCCTTCACACAATGAATACTGCCTTTGGAGGAAAATCAGAATTATCAGGATGTGTTGCTGCTTCAATTAGGTCCTCTTGTCAGAATTTATTCATGTCTCAAGCATACAAATGGAGACCCAAGATTGATTGCTTTCCAAAGAGATTTCCACCATTGTCAGTTTCCTCTAGAGAAACCGGAGCTAGATATTTTTTGAAGCGTGACCTGATAGTATCAATGTCAAGAAGCAATCGGGGTGAAAGTCTTACGTATAAGGATGCTGGTGTTGATATAGATGCTGGATCAGAGCTTGTGAGGAGAATTGCTAAGATGGCACCTGGTATTGGAGGTTTTGGAGGGCTTTTCCCACTTGGTACAGTTTTTTGTAACTCTCTTCTTGTCTGCCGTTGATGTTGTCATTTTTTTTGTTTGTTTATGTTAATTGGAGGTTATCAAGTTTCTGAACATGGATATAATTAATTTTGAAACTTCATAAACTCTTTTGGAGAAAGTATATAACAAAATTGTTTTGGAGTGGCGCGTCCTCCTTGAAATCTTTAAAAAATACCAAGGTTTTGTGGATTTCACCTACTTTGTCATTTTTTTGTTTCTTTATGTTAATTGGAGGTTATCAAATTTCTGAACATGGCTATAATTAATTTTGAAACGCCATAAACTCTTTTGGAGAAAGTATATAACAAAATTGTTCTGGAGTGGCGCGTCCTACTTGAAATCTTTAAAAAATACCAAGGTTTTGTGAATTTCACCTACTTTGGTTCTTCAAATGTCATGTTTAATTCTTATAAAAATTGGCTTCATTATACTGTAACTCACTAATGTAAGCATAAGCATAAATTAAAAGAGCATCCCTTGTTGGTGAAGAAGGCCCATTATTGATTGAAATGCTAGAGTTTGTCTTGCAGGTGCTAAGATGCTACTATGCCGACATGGCTACAAAGTCATACTGGTTTTTGTTGACTTGTATTGAATTTCTATCTCATCTCTTTGTATATATGTTTTTGAATGTGTTACATGACTAATACTGGATCTAATATTTAGGTTATGGAGCTATTGTAATCAATCTATTTTTCATCAATGTCATCATTATCCTTAATTAGGGGGCCTTATGTATATTCTACTATTTACAATGACGACCTTCATTTGCAATCTCATCATTATCATCATCCTTGCCTTTATCCCATATGGATGGGGTCGACCTTCTTTTGTAGTCTGTTGGTCACAAGATAAGAAACTAATAATTTGGCAAGCTTGCTTATCACTTTGGTTGGTCTGTTCAAAGTTACAAAATTTGTTGCTAATAGGATCTCAGGGTATTTATATCATAGCTTCATATCCTTGTATGACCGTCCCTTTTTTCCCTTGGGCCTTTTTACAAGCTCGGGCATTTGGCATCCTATCCAAGATTCTCCAACACAACTATAATTTTTCATCCTCTGGTGTACAACTCTCATTTAATACACCAGTTTATGATGAGTAATTCGTTCTGGTCAATTTTGGCATGGGCAATGTGGATTGATCGTGTTGACTCTCCTTCATGTGCTAGCTGTCTGTCATACGAGCTGAAAAGGGATGACCATTGTTGCTTATCTTTATCATCATTTGTTGCTTCTTCTCTCTTTTATATGTGTTTACGTATTCCCATATATGATTTTAAAGATTTGCTTTCCTTGTTAATTAGAGAATGTAAATTATATTTAGGTTGTTTTCTTCTAGGATTTTTTCTATTTAGTCTTACCACTACCTCCTCTTGAACGGGGGATTCCTATCTTGTGGCTGGTACAGATGGTGTGGGAACTAAACTTAAGCTTGCCTTTGAAACTGGAATTCATGATACTATTGGTATTGATTTGGTGAGATTTAAAGCATATACTGATATGCATTTTGCAACTAATATTGGTCCTTCTAATGTGCTTTTAGTCCAGGTCGCAATGAGTGTCAATGATATTGTTACATCTGGAGCAAAGCCCTTATTTTTCCTTGATTACTTTGCTACAAGCCACCTTGATGTTGACCATGCTGAAAAGGTGCAATAATTTGATACTGTTTTGCCTTGGTTCCATGCATTGTACGGTGATTCATGTATGATTGCTCTTTCTTTTTTTCTTAATCAGGTTATAAAAGGAATTGTTGATGGCTGCCAAGAATCCAACTGCGTTCTTTTTGGCGGAGAGGTATATTTTAGTAGCTTTACAGTGCTTTCACATATGTCTGGGGATGAGTAAATTCAAATTGATGTGCCGTGCAATGTTGGCTATGAAGAAAAGGAAAGATGGAATATTATGTCATAAGAACTGTGTAGTCTACAGTCATACAATATGAGGTGGTGGAACCACCTAACTATCGGTCACACAAAATATATGTAGACATCCAATTCACATAATCCTTTTGGATATTTGACCGTGTTCTTTTTATTTTTATTTTGTGTGTTTTTGTTTTTTTTTTAATTTTGGTGGGGGCAGGGGGGCATTTTGTTTCGCATTTGTTCTATCACACTCCATAGCAGTTTGTTGGTAATTGGGCAAGTTACTGCGCACCATTTTTCTTGAAACTGTGGGTATGTGCTCATTTATTTTTCGCTCCATCGTTCTTTCTAGAGGAAAATTTAATAAAATCAAGTAACTTTCGAATAAACTATAACTCCTTTAGTTTTGCTTAGTGGATTGTATTTGTTTTTCACACTGCGGAGATGCCTGATTTCTATGCTGATGGCGAATATGATCTTAGTGGTTTTGCGGTTGGCATTGTAAAAAAGGATTCAGTTATTGATGGGAAAAACATTAGGGTTGAGGATGTCCTACTTGGTGTGCCATCAAGTGGAGTTCATTCCAATGGTTTCGCTCTTGTTAGGAGGTTTGCTTGCTGTTTCTCTGAGAAAAATCTTAGGTTTTTTTATTTTTTATTTTTCTCTCTGTTAAAGTCATTATTAATAAAACCTTATGTTCAAAATAATATTCAATGATTGTTTTCTTCCGATGCCTCTCGTACTAATATACTATAGTACGTACCTTGATTGATAACTAGGGTTCTAGCTAAAAGTGGCCTTTCCCTGAAGGACCAACTTCCTGGTGAAATGGTTACATTAGGTGAAGCTCTGATGGCGCCAACTGTTATATATGTTAAGCAGGTCTCTTTTTTTTCACCTATTTGACCACATTATTATGCTCATAATGTTATTTATTTGTTTGCTGCTAAAAATGGAAGAATCTCATCGCATTTGATTTGGTGAAAAGGTTCTGGACCTAATTAGCAAGGGAGGTGTGAAAGGGATATCCCATATCACAGGTGGTGGTTTCACTGATACTATCCCTAGGGTGTTTCCACAAGGCCTTGGAGCTGTCATTTATAAAGACTCTTGGGTAATACCTCCCGTGTTTAAATGGATACAAGAGGTAAGACTCTTTCTCAATGGTAACCTTATTTTGGACTAGGGGATTCCTTGAAGAGTTTATTAGCAGCTTATTGACTAAATCTGGACATCATTTTATGTGGTTAAATGAAGACAAACTACAATCGCCATGATTATTGTTTTTTCAGATGGGAAGAATTGAGGATTCTGAAATGAGGCGGACCTTCAATATGGGTATTGGGATGGTTCTTGTTGTTAGCCAGGAGACTGCTCTTACATTACTTGGGGATGGACGTGGGACAAACATAGCATACCGAATAGGGGAGGTTGTAGCTGGGGAGGGAGTGAGCTTTCGCTGAAATGCTTTTATGTTTTATGATGGGTGATTTTAAAACATATATTTTTTTTTTTTTTTTGCCCTTTTCATTTTACAGTTTTTTAGAAACAAAGTTTTAAAAAAATATTTTCAGATAATTATTTTTAATAGTTATCACGAATTCTTAAATTTTTTTTTTTTTTCTTAAAACGCTGGTGTACAATGTCTTTTTATTTTTTTAATTCACTCTTAATTAAGAAATTATTATTTTATTATTATTATTATTTCTTTTTTTTTTTGGTGCTTCAGGTTTCTTTCCCTTTCCTTTTCGTTTGGTAATCAACTATATATTTTTTTTAGTTTGGTAAGGCTTGGACTAATGACTAAGTTATATGTTACATATAAATATAAAGTCAAAAAATGAAATTGGGCCAAACAAGAAACATGTGTCTTTCCTTTTTGGGTTAAATGACCGATTTCCATCATAAATGAAATATATATATATTAGAAAAAGTTATCTCACGAGTCACGAATATTTGTTCCACCTCTTCGTTACTAAAGGTTAGTTTTACTAAATCCAAGCTTATTGATAACAGAGGGAATATTTTGAGAGGCTCTAGGCTCTTTAAGTTTCACGCTCTATATATATATATATATATATATTTCAAAAAAGAAAAAAAAAACAGAAGAGTGCGAAATTTTAGCACAGTGTTTTCAAATTTAATAGCTAATATAATTGTGCGCTTGTGCATTCTGCATAAGACAACTAACTAATAGTTATAAATTTATCACCACCAACAAATAATTGGAGTGTGCTAAAGATAATTAACTAATAAATATAAATTTATTACAACCAATAAATAATTGTCTCAATGTGCTTAAGATAACTAACTAATAATTATAAATTTTTATCACTAGCAATAAATAATTGTGTGCAGTGTGCTTAAAATAACTAACTAATAACTATAAATTTTTATCACCACCAATAAATTATTGTGCGCATGTACAGTTTGCACAAGACAATTAATTAATAATTATAAATCTATCATTACCAATAAAAAATTGTACGCGTGTACAATGTGCATAAGATAGCTAACTAATAACAATAAATTTATCAATTAAAGAGTGCGAAATTTTCCAAGGCACAAAATAAAAAATGAATAGAACAATTTACTAGAAAAGAAAAAACTGCAGCTTCTTTTACATTCATGGTTTATATAGCTACTAAAATTTGATGATTAGAGATGACAAAAATACGTGGAGTTGAGGTGACTATATATATACATGCTAGTGGGAGTTTTAGGTTATATGTGGCATCCACTATCATATATAGTTTTGTCTTTCACTCTTTATATTAACTACACTACACTTTGTGTGTGTGTTTTTTTTGGAAGCCAATTACTCGCAGTGATTTTTTGATTATTGTTACGAAAGACCTATGCAAATTAATAGAAAGTGATTGATTCATCCTCACTACTGAGGAGGCAACATATTATTGCACCATGTGTCCAATACTAAAAACAAATATGAAATTGAGCAATATCAATTTTTACGGGTTAAACCCGCTTTCCCTTGTAGGTCTCTTCTCTCTCTTTCTTTCTATCTTTTTTTTAGAAGACCCAATTTTTCACGGCTCCCACCACCATCACCGCCATCATCCTCAACAGAGATATATATATATATCCCCAGACACCCACATCGTGTCCGACAGCAAAGGCCGAGGCGGTTCTATCGATCATGCACCTTTACAGACTCTTTTGCTAATCCTGAACTCCCCAAAAAGACACTTTTATAGATGATTTTATACGGGTTCTTTGAATTTGTGAGTTAAGAGACTGAGTTTGGCAAAATCAATTTTGGGTTTGTGTTTAGCCCTGTTATAAATCTATGATTTTGGGAGCTATAAGGCAGCGGTTATAACATGATTGATTCAAGCTTATGGAGTTTTGATAGTCAATTATTGGTTCCTTGTGGTAAGATAGGCAGATCAAAGATCAAATCTTTGACTAGAAAAAACAAAAAATCTAATCTTTAATACACCAAGTTTTTGGGTGCAGTTAGAGAAATACCCGAGAAATACCCAAGGAATTAAAGTTGGTAATAGATTTTTAAGCTTTGATTTTATTTTAGTTTATAGATTTTTTGGTGCAATTTGATTTTTAAGTTATGAATCAAAAGATCCTTAAACAGATTGGTAGAGGGTGTTAACCAAGAAAGAGAAAGAGAGAATGTGGAGAAAAGAGAAAAAAAAAAATGATTATTTATTTTCTTATTGCAAAGAATTCTTTCTTAATTAATTATTTCTTCCAAATCCCTTAAAAAAGAATTCGTGTGGCTTATAAGCGGGAATTATTTAAACTTTTTGCGAGAGTGTTCTCAGTAGCATTTCTCTTCAAATTAATCTTTAAGAAAATAGAAGAATTTAACCCTTTCTTCCAAGTGAAATAAAACTAAACAAAATGATGCCTAAGCAAACAAATAAAAAAATGATGGATACAAACTATGGAGTCCGTACTTACTTCATACATTCAGAAATGTAACAAAAACATTAAAGTATTTCAAATTTGTTTTACACTGTTATATTTTTAAATGTTTTAGAACGCAGCATGACAGAGAGATTTGTATTATATTAATCTTTAACAAGGTATTAGCAACGCTCCGTTGTCGTCCAGCGGTTAGGATATCTGGCTTTCACCCAGGAGACCCGGGTTCGATTCCCGGCAACGGAACCTTTTTTATGCTGCTGCTCTCTTCTTTCTTTCACTTTTCTGAAGTAATTGGGTGTACAAAGCACATGCTATATTTGGAACATGTTTAATATATAATTAAGCATATCATCACAGCTTTTTTAATTGTATTATATATATCTGATTGGACTTCAAATTGGCATAAATCTTTTGTTGTAAACAAAAAAAAAAATTATTCATGGAAATTTTTTTTCTTCAAGTCTCATTCAAATGTTCCTCATCCATTTTTTTTTTTAATTTTTTTATATATCTCTTATTTGCTAATACCCCTTAATTCATGGAGTATGTATCTTTATATATTTTATTATTTATTTATTAGGTAATTGCAAAACCTGCAAACACTAGCTTACTTTAATCACAATATAAGATTATAAGAGATCATATGAAGATCTATGACTGCATGAGTAAAAATAAATCCCAATATTCTGATTTATTCAAATCGAAGATCCTAAAAAAAAAAAAAATTAAATCCCAACTAGACAATGTTACTGTTGCAAATGCACTTCTTTTTTCTTTCTTTTTTTTTTTTCGGAAATTCAGATAATTATATTAGGAAAAAAAGAATAATGTACAGAATAGAAAAGAAAATGGAACGGAGCACCACATAGTCTTGGAGAGCCCAGTCAGCAAGCCCAACTACTAGTGTCCTTTACTGTCTATTCATTTTGGAAAACTTGATTGACTTCGTGTGTGACTTCACAAAGTTTAAAATTCCACTAGTTAGTTTTGCTTATTATAAAAAATGTCAATTTTTTCAAATTTTTGAGATTGACTGCTAAGTTTTTAAAACTAATTATAAATTTATACAAAAATACTATTAAGACTTTTTATGGTCCAAAATGCCCTTGAGCTACACCGGTCTTGAGGAATGTACAGTTCGGTGAAGAGTACAAAGAACATTTCCGGCGAGCCTTGGATGACCCAATTCAGGTGAGCTCCAAACGTACTGACGGCCATCCTTGGATCGGCTGCAATGAGGGCCTCTGCGACGGCCATCCTCTTCGTTGTTGTCACTGAGGTCGCTGCTCGGTGGCGATTTGGAGCAGCCAGTTTCGCTGGAGGCGGAAGTGGCACGGGAAGCAGCGTTAACAGAGAGGAGAGCTCCATTAATAGACCCAGTTCGAGCTCCATTAACAGACCGAGTTCGGTGGGCTTTATTAATGAGCTTTATTAACCTTGTCCGGAGAATCTCGTTTTCAGTTCGGTCTGTCTTTAAGGAAATAGAAAGAATAGAACAGAGAGAACTCCAAAATTTTCATCAACGGAGAGTTCCATAAAAGTTCAACAAGTGACCATTGATTCCAGCGAAACCCAAGCTGCACTCCGAGCTCCTGTGAACTGACAGCAAGCTTCACGACCTGCTTGCCTTCTCCGGTGACAAATCAGTGAACTCCTCGACTTGCATTCGACTAATTGCTCTGTTTCAGTTTTAGGAGCTCACTGTTGCGTTTTTGCAACGGTGGGCCTAGGTAGCGTGGTACACGTTGCCGAACTGAAGTGGGTTTCGCCGAAAAGGAATGCACCGGACTGAAATGGGTTTTGCAGAAGCTTGGAGCTTACCGGAACTGGAGTGGACTTCACTGAACTTGGTTGCCTCTGTTCGGCTTCAATGGACTGAACTGGTCAACTGGGTTCGCCGAAAATGGTGCTCGTCGTGTTAAACTTGATTGTTGTTGCTTCGACCTCACTGTTGGGTCTTCAATGGAATTTTCGGTTGAGTTGCTAAAATTCGTTCTGGTTGTTGGGTAATTCTTAAAATTTGGAGATTTTGTGTGTGTGTTTGTGATTTTGCCTAAGTGGGTGTGATGGGTGTTCATGGGTATGTGTTTTTTCATCTGGTGTTGTATTTTGGCCATTTGAGGAATTTTTTCTTTTTTTTCTTCCTAGGCATTTGAGGAAGTTGAGGATGGTGATGAGGGGGCCGGCCTACGAAGAAAGAGATGGACGAAAAAAGAAAACAAAAATTATCAAGGGTAATATTGAAATTTCACATTTTATCTGAAGAAGGGCATTTTGGACCATGAAAAAGTCTAAATAATGTTTTTTGTATAAATTTGTAATTAGTTTTAAAAACTTTGGAAAAATTGACATTTTTTAAAATAAACAAAGTTAAGTTGTGAAATTTTAAATTTTTCTTATTAATTTTAATATCAGGATCGAAATTAATATAATACTCGAAAATAACAAGATTTAAATAACAAGATTTAAACAGACTTACAGAAAACTTTCTTTATTGAATTTCCAAGCTAGTACATAGAAATATTACAAAAGGAAGAAAAGGAAATTGAACGATACATTGAAGGGAACCTTTGTCCTCTATTTATACATAAAATGGACTTGAAATTAACATTTTGAAGTCCGCATAGTGCATGGGATCGTGTGCTGGAATAATGCAGTCGGTCGGCCCACCACTAAGTGCTGTCTCCTTATCTGATGGAAAGTAGACATCTGATGAAGGAAATACTATAGAACCAAAGACTTTTGGGAAAAGTTCTTTGTCTTCTTCTGTCGGCAGGATAAGAGGAATCTTTACTTTTTGGGTGGATTCATCTTGTCCATCAAGTGACTGGTGAGAGAGTCCCAATAGTCTGCTACTGTAGGCTCATCTTCAGAAATAAGATCTTCATTGGGATCTTGTGCATAACCGACTAGACAGGAAAACTGATTACCGTCTTGACTGGTCTGGCTAGAGACTGACACCATGGATGCATCATCTCGTACTGTAGGAGCGGAGGAATCAAAAGATTTAACAAATTTGGTCCTCATAAAATCCATGCATTTAACCATTAAATCGGCTTCTGTAATTAATGGTTGTTGTTTTCTGATCATATCTTTAACAAGTTCAAATAGGTTAAAGATTTCGGGTTCTGGAATAGTTAACTTTGGAATCTTATCCATGTATTC